AGGGAGAGAGTTTGTTCCTTCCATCTCTTCCCCCATGTCAGGACACAGCAACATGGAATCATCTTGGAAGCAAAGAGCCAGCCCTCACCAAACGCCAAATCTGCTGGAACCTTGGTCTTGGACTACCCAGACTCCAGAACTATGAGAAATAAATGTCTATACTTTATAAATTACCCAATCTATGGTATTTAGTTACAGCAGCATGATGGGATTAAGATATCAAATAAACAAGCTCATATAAAAAATGGAGCTATGAATACCCATCCCTCTGGGTTTTTGTAAGGATTTATATAATATTTATAAAGTACCTAGCAATGAGCACATAGTAAGTGTTCAATGCATGGTATTATGAGTATTGAGGTAACTATAACTGGTTGACCTTGAGCAGAGTAATGGGCTTGATGAATGGCCAGGTGATGAGGGGAGAGAACCCACTGAAAGAAGTCCTGGAAGAGGGTACAGTTAGGAGACTGGGTGGCCAGCAAGGGCAGAAGTCACCAGACAGTAAGAATCTAGGGTGAGGAGGTACAGAGAGGAGCAGAGACTGTGAAAAGAGATCTGAGAGCTATGGAAGATAAATGGTTCCATTACCAATGTACCAAGGACTCCATAGCCTGGAACCCCAGAGCTGGCTTGAGGTAGAACCCCCTCTACGACCTCTCTTCCAAAAGGGCTACTTGCCCAAAGGGTGACCTAACACCAAGACCCTTGAGTTAACGTCCTATGCAAAGGGGCTGAGATTCTTGAGCACGTTCATGTGCTCACAGGCTCTTCCATCAGCAGATAAACAGCCCCTGTGCCTTCTCCCACCCCCTTCCCTCATCACTCTGCAGGAGGCCAAGTTGAAACATGCTCTAGAGCTGCCTTTCCTTTGCAAAGCCAAGGAAAGAAGGCTCTTAAAAAGCAAATATTCAGCCTCATAAATATGTCATAAATCTGTAACCAAGTTCTCCACGTTCTTTGTGTTTTTATGTGATGCATCTAAATATCATTCTACCCGTGACTTTGAACCCACATCTTCTGGGTTCAGGTTATTAAGAAGTGAGTGTTCACAGAAGATTTTATTACTACTTATTACTTTTGTGTGGATGGAGAGATTGCTTCTTTTTTATTTATCTCCAAGAAAAATATATTCCCTGATGATCTCAGATAAAACATGATATTAGATATATTTTCCTTTTTCTGAAGAAGTTGCTTCTACTTCTGGTAGGATCTTATCTGGACCTTCCAGAGGCTGGCTTGCCTTAATGGTTTGAGAGTGGTGACCACTGTGTAACAAACTGCATCCATCCCCTTCCCGTGGAATGAACGTGCTCAAGACAAGGACCATCTGATGCCCAGCAGGCTCCTTGCAAATTCTGTCCATAAACATACATGAACGACAAATGGGAGGGAAGCCAAATCCTGATGGATCAGCACTCAACTCACAGAACTCTCAGTTATCCAAAACTTTGAACTTAACTTCAGAGGAAAAGACTAAAAACATGGAAGAAAGAAACTAATATCAGGGTGTTCACTCTAGAAACAAAAGCCTTCTAGTGGCTGTTTTGGTAGCCAATACTTACTAGGGGCTTACAGGGTACCAGACACAGTGCTAAGTAGCGTACATGCAGTATCTAGTGAAGTCCTCACGACCACCCTTGAAGGAAGTAGTGTTATTGTCCTAATTTTGCAGATAAGAAAACTGAGGCTTAGAATGGTTAAATACTTTGACCAGCATCCTACAAGCCTACCCTTGAATCCAGGGCTCTGAGTCCTTCAGAGTCCACAAGCTTCACATGTACACTCCTGTTCTAGGAAATTAATAAATTCAGGTCTAATGCCCACAGCTCCTACAGAGACATCTAGAACTGACCAAAAGATGCCTATTCACTCGCCTTTTTTATAGTTGAGGAAATGGATGACCAAAGACAAAAAGGCACCAGCCTGTGGGCACCCAGCCAGTACCCATCAGAACCAGGACTGGAAACAACTCCACACCCACAGGGCAATACCTAACGGCTGCATGTTTAGAAAGATAACACAGTCCCCAATTCTCCCACGACGGACTTCCCTACTGTTCAGGGCTCATTAAAAATATGACAGTGAGACCTCCTCTTTTGGAAAGATTTCTAATAAAAAAATTTGGAGGAAGTAAGTTAATCACGTAATTAAATTTTTTAATTTATCAGTTTAGGTAGCAGGGCCTAACTGAAGGTTCCTTTGGGTGTTAGATTCTATAAACCAACATAATAGCCAACAGTCGTGAGGGTCACACAATGTGCCAAGTTTTTTCCTAAGAAAGTTACACATTTTAGCTTAGTTAATCCTCCCATGACCTGATGAGGGGGGACTAATATTATCATCCTCATGTCACAGGTGATGAAATTGAGGCAGAGACAGAGTAAGCACTTGCTCACATTCTGCTAAATTTACCAAATAACTGTATAGTAGTGCTTTCAAATACATCTTCTTATTTGATGTCATAAGTTTAAGATTCACAGGGGAATATTTTATTATTGTTATCACATCCATTTTAGAGATGGAAAACCAAAGTTTTGCCTCAGGCCCTGCACTCACTGCTGAGCTACGGAACCCTAAGCAGATGCTTCACCTCTCTAGCCTCCAACTTCCTCTTCGGTAAAGTGGGGGGCATGGAGGGGGGATCAAGACTGGAGTCTCTCTAAGGCCTCTCCAGCATGAACATCCAAGATAATAAAGAGAGATGGCCTTGTTCTCTGGAATGTCCTTCGCTTACGGTCTGGCAAAGCTGAGGTCTCTTGGCGTACATACACCTAGGTTGGCAGCTCCTCAGTAGTTGTGAACAATTGTGTGGCTTAATTATCCATGGACCCATGGACAGAGGAGAGTGGGTGCAGTTTTACACTGATATATTCAAAGACTGCTTAATTCAGGATGAGGTCTCACACCTGGTGCAACATCTCTGTTTCCATGGGTACCAGAGAGATGGTCTGTAGTAGGCTCCCCTTGAGGTGATGATGAAGAAATGATACAGGGAGTTGACTCATGAAAAATCCTGGGGACAGCAGCCAAGCAAAAAGCCACATGTTTCTTAATCTATTCCTTTTTAGGGTAGAGGGTGGGAATGGCCACAGCCACCAGGGCACAACTCTCAGGGTCTAAGCAGCAAGGAAAACTCCCCAGTCCCATCTGCATGGCAAGCTCAGAGGCTGAAGTCCGAGTGTTATTTCTGGGGATTTTTGTTTTGTTTTCGTGCTTGTATTTTAAGGCAATCAATTCTGATTACATTTAAAAGGGCACTGTGTTCTGGCAGGATTTGCTTTTAAAACAAAACGTGAGAGATAGATAAGAAATTAATAGGCACCTTGAGTACATGATGACCTGTCATAGCTTTGACACCTGACATTTGGAGAATGGGGAGTAGACAGAATATAACACAGTAAGGCTTTCACTTAATCAAAAGTTTCAGAGAACTGGGCATTTTGTCAGAAACTATCAAACAACTATAATGTGAATTTGGAAAGCAGATATTTTAATAGTCCTCACTTGCATCTAGGTAAAACCATGCTGGGGATGATAACATCAGCTCAAGCACATTGCTTGCATCTTGGAACACTCTGCACAGTGTGTGTGTGTGTGTGTGTGTGTGTGTGTGTGTGTGTGTGTTTAACCATATATCAAGATTATAACCCAAGAACCATCTAACAAGATGGCACTAGCGACCCAGTGAGGAATTGTTCCTAGAACCTAGATGTCAAATCCAGATGACATGGCTTGACAAAAACACCTTTTGCAACCACATCAAATAACACTGCAGTGGTTTCAAGAGGACTGCCCCACCCTGGACGGGCAGAATCCCATTACTACAAACACAACTATGTCTCCTATGAGGAAACAAGATGACCGCAAGAGGCAGTTCTCCCAGACCATCCTCCAGCCAGAAATCCTCTGCACCACTTGGCTGAGAGTTGGACCCTCTGTGCTGACCACAGGAAATTGTCATATCTGGAGAGCTGTTTCACCTGAGCCACAAGCCCACCCTGTCACCTGCAGGCGAGACAGCTCCACCTAGGGCACCTGTGTGGAGTATCTGGGAGGGGTGGTTCACCAAAGAAAATAGGGGTGCTGCTGCCAAAGAAAGGGGGAAATGGATGCCCGAGTATAGGAAAAAGCAGCACACGTCCACTCCACCAACCCATGCTGTTTAATCCTGCCAGCTTTTCATACCATCCTCCAGGTCACTGTGAAGGCGATGCCTCGAGGTGTTAGAGAGTTGCTGCTTTAACATGGCAGAGGAGAAAAGGTAAAGGACCTGAACCAGGAAACGCCAGGGGTTTGAATCTCCTCTTTCTCCCTTCCCAGCTGTGCTGGGTGTTTTCTGTTTGCCTTCCCAGACCCCACCCTTTGCCCTCCTCTGCCTTGGTCTGCGTCCCAGGAGGCTGCCCCATCGGGGCGGCATCTCTGGGCTCACTTGGCCTGTAGCTTCTGCTTGGATTTCGTCAATGGAGGCACCAGCAAGAGACTGAAAGGCAGAGGATTCGTATTCCTCTTGGCTCCTTTCTCCCGAGTCACTGGGACTTGGCTGCATCCTTCTACCACTCACCCCTGTCTGGAGCCCTTCCCTACAATCATAGCCCCTCTCTCCAGGCCCTGTAACTGCTCCCTCCATTTGCCGCTTTAGGCCTAGGATGGTAAGATCCCTCCCCACTGCTGTGCCCAGAAAGCCCTGTCCTCCTTTGTTCTTTTCTCTTACCCTGCCCGAACCACTGTAAGCTGTCCTTTCACTAAACTGTTCCCATTACCTCCATCTGACTGTGCCATCTGTTCTCTGCAGGGACCCTGGTTTGATATCCCAGCTAGATGACTTCCAGTGAATAAGTCAACTTTGGGAAAGCTTAGTTCTCACAACAGAGAATGAGAATAACCCTACTTACATCTCGGGGTCATTATGGGATAACATCTATGGAGCCCAGCACTACCTGTAGACACAGCTGTCTCCTTCATTAGACTGTGGGCTCCTCTGAGTCCACAGAACTCACTTTATTCATCTGTCAGTCGGCAGCACCTAGCACTGAATGTGGTTAACTCTGTGTGCCCAGCAAACGTGATTTTATGTATTGTCAATCTCTTGTGGTCCTTCTTCCTTCCCTCTGGTCCTGAAAAATAAATAAGAAAAATAAAGCAGTACTGATATTGATCCCTGATGTCTACCAATCCCAAAAGCTGCTCCTTCATGTAATAAGTTATAAACAAGTTGTAAAAGGAAATTGATTTTGTCACATACAGTCCATGTGCTATCTTTAGGAAGAACGCTGCCAAGGAGGGATGCCATTTAAACATGGTGGCCCTGTACCAATATTATGCTGGTTTTGTACTTCAAATAGTACTCTGGATTGATTGGTTTCACCTTACTTAGGGGCTCCTAATCCAGCTTCAGCCATTAAAACGTTTTAAAGCACAAGAAGATGATATGCCCCTCCCACAAGGAGGGGTGCACACTGGTTTGAACACGCCTCCAGTGTTCTAGGGTCCAATACTACGGAAGATGCTCTCCTCACCCCCACAGGGCTCTCTGCCTCTACCCCAGGCAAAGACTTCCTATGGCTGAGGAGTAGGAATAGGTCCTAACTTGCCTTCCACACAGCCTCTGCCCCAGCCAAACTGAGTTCAAAACCTTTTCCCAAACACCATGGGCACTCATACTCTTGCATGGCTTTGCCCTCTCCCTGGAATGTCATCCTCCTCATCCTTTGTCCAGTGAAAGAAATCTGGCCCCTCTGTCAAATGTCAGCTCTTCTACGAGACTCTCTGTGCTTTCCCCATAACAGAATGAATTTCTTCCTTCTGTACACTTCCCTAATTGCACACATATACTATGCATTACATTTTGTCGCAAGGGGTCTGCCTCCCCCAATAGATGATCATAATGTCATATCTACTAAGGACCTACTGCCGCAGAAATGTCTCATTTAATTCTCATAACTCTTCAAAGGACATCCCTAGGACCACAGATGCCATGACTGCAGAGACCATCCAGTAAGTGGGGGTTTACACTTGTTTGTTTGGGGTATGTTTTGTTTGATTTTGTTTTGGTGCTTTGGCTTTTCTCTTTTATTTTTGCTTTGGGTGGCTTTTTGTTTTGCTTTGCTTTCTTTTTTCGTGGTGGTGGGGTGTTTCCCCTCAGTCTTATACCTCCAATGCTTACACTGGCACTTAGCAAGCATTCAGTGAGTACTTGTTGAATGAATGAAAGTTACTATTATTTTGACATAGGAGAACACTCAAAAGCACAGACATGAATGGACTTGCCCATGGTCATGCAGCTAATCAGTGACAGCTGAATCACATTTAGGCTCTCACACTGCGTCCAGCTTATACCTGGTGGGCAAGGGCCACATCTCATTCATCTTTGCTTCACCAATGGCAGGGACTTGGCATGGCACTCAGTAAGTACAAATAAAAGTACAGGGAAGGAATAAATGATTATTTGGTTATTGCAAATCCCAAAGGATTATCATTTGATGACAGCCAATAGAAAAGGTAGAGTAACAGCTAAATTCTATCACGTCTGTAGAAATTAATGTTCTCATTTATGACATAGGCATTTTTGTACAGTAGGAGGAAAGTATATTTGCCTTAATTTCTTAGATAGAATGGACTTTTAAAATAGCCCTCTCCCCTTATTTTACATTACTCTTCGCACGACTTCCTCCTGGAAGTCTGCATGTAAACCAGATGTTTGCAGAGCCAATGGACTTAAATATCAGAGTGACTCTTGCTTTTTCAAAAAACACTACTGCATATCTTTTGGGAAAATGAAGACTGCTTCAATAAAATGAAATCACCTCCCAATTTGTATCATGCAGGGGCCCAGCAGGTGTTACAAAACTCTGTTCAAATGTTTTAACTTAAGAGGTTTTAATGAAGGTACCAGAGATGTGGCTAGGGTTAATGGAAACTACAGGAGACTAGCAGCTGCAGGAAGCTGCTGCTACCTCTGGGTCTTAAAGGGCAAGAGAGGGAGATTGGTTCACAGAATCCAGCGAGAGCTGAAGTCGGGGCAGAGGGCCAACCTGACAGGAAGTGAGGTCATGGAAGACCTAAGCCTAAGGTGCTGAAGCTAGGAAGGTGAGAGGAAGAAATACCCTGACATCTCTCTTCTTCTACCAGTAAGTAACCTTCACTGACCAAATACTACTGGAAACCAGAAGGCAAGAGAGCCCAGGTGAGGTGATTGGTAGAGCTCAGCCTCCTCCGCCCAGAAAAGAAGAGAGAATGGATGGGAGAGCAGGGAAGGGAGAGGATGCAGAGAATCACCTGCCGGGTCCACCCCTTTTGCATCCAATCCACATCTATCTTGCCCCTCAGGTGAGTGAAGAAACTCTCATCTCCAGCATTGCTGAGACCCAGAATCCCATAAAGTGTCATGTCATGTCATGATGTCAACACAGTCACACTCTCACCTAGATCCTAAAGTGTAATGTGGCCTTCACATGAGGTAGCAGAAAGGTGAGAGGAAAAGGAAAATTATAATCAATTAGATAAGACAAGCATAGGCTGGGCGTAGTGGCTCACGCCTGTAATCATAACACTTTGGGAGGCTGAGGCGGGAGTTCAAGCGAAGTGAGTTCAAGGCCACAGTGAGCTATGATCACACCACTGCACTCCAGCCTGGCTGACAGGGCGAGACCCTGTCTCTAAAACAAAACAATAACAACAAAGACAAGCATAACAGCTACAGTCCACACTGCAGTAGCTGCTCATGGAACAGAAGCCAACGGTCAGAGCTTCCTTCTTCCACCACCCATTCCCCCTTCTCCTGGCCCTCAGCACCTCAGGTGGGTGGAGTCTTTACCTGACAGAATGAGTCAAGCCTTCATTTCCACAGGATCTGAGCTCTTGTGATCCTGTATTCACTGAGCTGTCACAGTTTTCCATTAACTGTTATTATTGTGTATGAGAGTGCTAAGAAGTGACCCACTGCGTCCCCTAGGCCAGTGGGCCCCACACTTTTTGGCACCAGGGACCATTTTCATGGAAGACAATTTTTCCATGGACTGGGGAGGGGGAGGTTCGGGATGATTCAAGCACATTACCTTTATTGTGCATTTTATTTCCATTATTATTACATTGTGATATATAATGAAATAATTACGCAACTCACCATAGGTTGGGGCTCCCTGCTCTAAGCTCTAGGCATGGTTTTTCTTGCCATCGGTGGATAACAGTAACCTAATTTCCTTTGATGATTAAGGTCAATCGCTCCAGTCAATACTGTTACCATCCTGTCTGTTGGTTCAGTGGCCATGAGGAGCTTAAAATGACTAGTTTTCAGCTTCGAATTTAATGGAACACATCTGTGTTCCCAGGTAGAAACCAGGACCCCCAAATGCACCAAACCAAGCTTTCGGCAATGGGAACCCAAAATGCCATAAGTAGGTTATTAGGCGTAACAGTCTAAAAGTAAGACGGGCTTGTGCCCGTCCTTCCCCTTGGTTCCAAGACTGTGTGTTCTGAATATAGGGGAAGCAACACTACATTTACCACATTCTGCAAGACGGTACTCCCAAATTTTTAGGATGTTATTTCTTAGCTGGTCTTTAGAAGGTCATTCTATAGTTCTATAACATAAAGCTTCTGAGTGACGGGTAACACAGCAAAATCAGCTAATTTTGTCAACAAGAGCTATACTTCATTTGCCATAAAGTGGGTTTCTTGGTTATTTAGAGGTGATACCGAGTGGGATACTAAGACAACGAAGGCCCCTCCAGACTATACAGTGGCAGCTGTGTTAAAAACCAGTTGGCTATGTCTCCAGTCCCGATTCTCATTTACATGGAAGAAGAATGTTCTTCTGAAATCCTGAAGTCTCTCTCTCTCTGTTCTTCTTCTCCCCTGTGACCCTCACGCAATCTTCAGGAGGCAGAATGGGATTATAGAAAGAGCACAAGCTTTGGAGTCAAAAGGCCTGGATTCAAATGTGAGCTCTGTGACTTGTGAACTGTGTAACTCGGAGCAAGTTACCTAATGGACCGTTTCCTTATGAACGAAACAGGAATGTTTTTAACACCTGCCTTGTAGAGTTTTGACTTAAATAAACCAATGCAGATAAAAGTCAATCACACAATAGACAAGAAATGTTACTCCCTTCCTCCTGCCTTCAAGCTAAGTGCCACACCTGAAGCATCAGTTATGGAAATGGTTTGTCACAAAACACATGCCTTGGGTAAATTTACAAAATCTCACCAAATGAACTTTCTCTGGGCTCAGGCTTGCTGCCCTGATGATGTTCACACCATGGTTTTATAAGCAAAATCTACAGCTCTAAGCTTTCCAATGCTTCATCTTTGACTGTCACACAGGGATGATTCAATGTTCTTCTCTGTCTCAATATTTCTAAACCTGCAAGTTTGGTGCAAGGCAAAATCCCTTCTCTGGGCTTGAGTCCAGTTTTCTCAGAAGATCTTTTTTTTTTTTTTTCTTTTTTTTTTTGTAAATCCTAAAACTTACAAATCATCCTCTGTGGTCTAATTCAAGCCTCGGCTCCAGTACACATATGAGCACGTAAGACTGGAGGGGCATAGGGGAGTGATGGGCAAAGGAGAGGGCAAGCGTTTGTGTGTGACCCAGTCTCCGGATACCTCTCCTACATGGAAGGTTTACAGTATCAGGATTATTGTTTGCAAGCAACAGAAATCGACCCTGGCTTATGCAAAGATTTTATTGGAAGACCATCAGGGCACATCGTATCAGCAAGAGGCTAAGGAAACAGGCTTGGAAAACAGGCAGGAATTGAAAAAGCCCCAGAGGACCAGGCAGCAAGGACCACAGCAAAGCCCCCACACCAGGACTCATCTGTGGTCTGCACCTCCTCCCTCACAGTGCTGGCAGGAATGCCCTCTGACGCAGAACCAACCACCTCCTTCTGTCGCTTCCCCAGAAGACTGCGTGATCAGTCAAACTGAAGTCACATGCCTGCCTCTGGCAGGGAGTGAGAAAATCTGGTCCCTTTAGGTCCTATATTTGGAAGCGAGAAAAATCCCCACCAAGACTACACACCCAGTGAGGCATCCCCTTAAATCAGGGGGCTAGCAGAAAAGGGATCCTAACCAGATGGTATAAAAGTAATATAAATTTTCACCATGCATCCACTTAT